GAAATACCTTTAACTAAGTACCTCACAGGTACTATCAATCTATAATTTATTGTATGCTTGACGCATTTAAACGTATGTAAACAATAATACGAGCGCGCAAGGTACGACGGGTTGTTATGATTCTTTAAAGCATGCGCAAAGCATCCCAAGGAGAGTCTCTATGAAATTATAAGAATATCATTGCGATTATTTCTTATACACCTAATTGAAGAAACGTTGTCGGGTCCAAAAAGGTCAAATCATAGAAGCTAAGACCGAAAGGGTTCTTGGGAAGACAAACAATTTGGATAATTTCATAACAAACAGCTCTCCAGCATAAAAGACTATCATGATGTTAATCTTACTAGCTCTACTTCAGTGCTTAGTGTACACCGTATATGCAAATGTAATCCCAATTTAGTGGTACTCAAAATCCCTTTCGGTCTTAGCTTCTATGATGTGACCTTTTCGAACACGACTACCTTTTTTCAATTAGGTGTATACACGAAGCCTCGTCTTAGGTTGTTTTACGCATGGTTACCCATGACAACCAGAATATGGAAAGAAGGATTTCACTAATAATGCTTTTATCGGAAACTACAGCATAACAAACAAAATTCTCTGCGACTCCTCCTTCAAAACCGAACGAGATCCGAATATGCAAGCAGATGATCTACCGGTCTCCAAGTTTTTTTTCCGAATGAAGCTCGCAAGGTTTTTGAAAGCCGTTCGGTTAAGCTTGGAGTTTTGACTGACACGAGCAAAATCACCCAAAATGGCGGTTAGTATTCGATCGTTAGAATATTTACTACACTTTAAGGCAATACCAGTGAGTAACTAATTACAGCAATATCAAAATAACAAGCTTCTTCTGTTATCATTGAGTTATAACACATTTAAGTTCGCATTGTTACAGATTTATAGATATCATCATGATATGTTGTGACTATAAATTTATTTTTATTATCATTATATTATTATAATATTAAAATTATTATAATCAATATTAATATCTAGTTGTATCATTATCAGCCATTTTTATCAATAATCGTCATCAATATATTATCAACTGTGTTATAAAATGAACAGCATTAATTGCCAAGGTTATTTCTAGCTGTGACTAATCCCACTGCGATCCCGCGTCCATACCAACAACCCCCCCTCCCCCCCCTCCCCTACTAGCATAGAATTAGGCCTATATTTCCGTGAATACGGTATTCTGTTTCTATAAATCGCGCTGTTGCAGATCTATTTAGAACACGAGATAAAATATCACATTTGAATTAAGGTAAACTCTTTTCTCGCTGACATGAGGAGCGATCCACACGAAGCAGATTTGGACAGTTTGAAAACCTCATTTCGCGGGTTGTTTGTTTAGCGGATTCACAGCAGTCTTTCAACCAATTACTATTATAAATTGGTTCGACACTCAATGCAGCGAAATAAATCCCCATAATAACACTATTCAAGACTTTCTGAGATAATCATTCAATCTTTTTGCAATTTAACTTTATTTCATTATTAAATGTTCAAAAAAAAACACGCAGAAATTACGCGGAACATGTCCACCGCAAGAGCCAACGACAATTGCGAGAATTAGTACATAGAATAACAACATTATAACATAAATAATTATAAGACACACTGAATGAAGGAGATTTCTGGTGGCGCTATTGAGTAAGTATTAAGAAAGACAGGTACTAGGATTTTAGTCTAACACTTTCAAGGACTTAATATTCATCTTAGAAGGCTAAGTCATGTCTCGACTCACTGTTGTCATATCTCATCGTTGTCAAAGGAAGGTGATTTTCATTATTGATAACATCTTCATTGTTTTGTGTATTTTCCACTTGAAACTTTTGTTAAATCAGTTTGAGTTCTGTAGTGTATGTATGATTCATCGTGATGGTTTCTTGTTGATGGTTACTGTCTGTGCTTTGTATTCGAAATGTTTGGAAATTGCGGTTTTTAGCTCCTTGTGGTTTGAATGATTGTAAAAATATGGTTAGCGAAGTAAAGTGGGACAACATAACAAGAAAAAATAGATTTGAGTGTTAGCGAGAGCATATGACCTCAAATCCCTGCTTCTATCCGCAAATATAAAGCGTCTCTAACCTTACTGCAAAATTAAAAGCGACAAAAAATACGGTTGAATACGATTGTGGAGTAATTTATAATTTATAAGTTTGATTTGAAAACAGACCGCGAATGAACGACAAAAATCTAACAAGTGACAGAAAACGTCTAGTTGATATTTTACCAATAAAAATATATACAAAACATGGATTTTACAGGAGGATAGGCTAACAGTCGGCTGCTATATTTACATTAACAATGGTAAAACTTGTTAAACAAGGGGAACCCCACTTAGTCTTATAATTGCAAGCATAACATTATAATCCATATATTATTGTTGGAATTGATATATTATTGCTTTATAGTTTGGTGCATCTGTTGTCCTGTTTTTTGAACGAGAAATATATATATAGTCAAATCCACCTATTTTTGGTCAAACATATTATTTTTTCAACAAAAACACAAGTAAATATTGATTTGTTTGCATTATATGTATAATTTATTCTAGGAATAAGTGGTTGTTTTGGTGTGCATGGGGTACAGACGTATTACGATAAACATTCTCAGTACTTTTTTCTTGACTCAACATGCGCACATGAATATCATAGTCATTACACAAACACTCGTTTGTGTTTTTCAAATCAAATTGGATCCCCAAGGTTACATATACACTTACCTTCTCCAGCCTTAAGTTCACGTATGTTACATATCCAGGRGAAACTCTGAAACCTTCCCGGCTTAACGGCAACTCATCGTGCTCGTGAAGAATAAAACGAAAGCCGCTCTCCTTGACTTTACTGTAGCTTGGCTGTTGAACATTTAATATAAATTCTATTCCATATTTTGAACCAATTTTATTACTCTTTAAGGAATTCTTTTTGTTTCTCGCGGAATTAAAAGTGTAACATGTTTGTCCTTTAGAAGAGTAAAATACGTAGAAATCAGACGTATCGAAAAATGCTGTTGGTTTAGTAAAGCCGTGACTCTGACTACTTTGTATTAACGTTTCTTTTAACTGTTCAAACGAAATGCTTATGACATCTGCTATCTTTGTTTTGTTGGTGGAATGTAGAGATTTCCTCACATCATGAAAGTCACATATGGTTACTGCAGGGAACGGCAATGCTCCTGGATATTGAATAGTTGATGTCGTAGTAAATGGATATAGATAATATTGTGTAAGGCTTGTTTTTATTTCTTTAAAGAAAAACCCAGCAGCAACCGCTAGAATTGTCAACCAAACAACCTTTCGCATTATCGACTTGGTTTCGAACACGTAATGAAATCCATGTAGAGTACAATGGTTAATATAATAACATACAAGCTCACGTATTTTCCTCTTCCCGTAATCTTCTTTTTCATTATTGGGAGAATGATTCCGTTCATCGTGCGGGATGCGTCCATTGCGCGTTGACGATTGCAGTAATATTTCGTCCTTTTCGCCTGAAATATCGCTATCGATTTGGATATCTTCCTTTGCAGATTTATCGGAACCACAACATTTAGAACAAGACATCATACCACCGGTCAACGAACCGCCATCATAGTCTCCTTCTTATAATGTTGAAGAACCTCGTAAACTGGATTATCAGCCCAATCACCACTTGCTCTTCAAAATACAATCAATCTAGCAGTTCAGTGATTTGTTATGTAAGAGAGGCTGTACGCGAATGTACAACTAGAGTTTTCTAAATATCATCGCACCTGCTCTACAGAGAGAACACACAAATATTATACGCGGGCGCCCTCGCTCAGAACTGAGACAGCCAATCAGCAACCTCTAACACTAGGTAGCTAGATTAAGTCAAATGAATTAAAACTCCATAGCAAGTACGAATGACGCTTATTTTCCATATATCAATGTTTTCTAAAACGCTTCCAACCCTAATCGAAGATAGTTATTAAATAAGAAAGAATCTAATGCGATTTCTGTCGTTCTTAAGACTCACTGGATACAGTGATCAATCATTTGATGCTCTCATAATTGACATTCCGTGGACGATAGCCTTGACTATCAGCTTTAAAATCATTGTATGTCAAAATAAGTTCATTTTATTGCAAAGATAAGTATTGAATTGTTTTTTGTTTCAAACGACTTTCAAGATTACATCAGGAAATCATTTCGCTTTAGTTACCAAGAGGGGATCGCTTTTTTTTT